ATAAAATACTTCATTTATCTATTTATTTTTTGGTATAGCTGCTTTTGTTATAAAAATTTTATTGAACATAAAGTGCTGATTAAAATAATAAACTTTGTATTCTGTTATAGCAAAAAATAATTTAAGGTCTTTTGAAATGTTAAATGTCCATTGGGGTCCGTTATCCTCTAACTCACTTGTACATTACAAGCTGCAGTGAAACAAACAAAAAAATGTTCGACATTGGCAAAGTTTTTAGTTCAGCACTTTTACTCGTGTTTATCTAAATTAGTTGTAAAAGATTTCGTTGGCATATTTAGGACGAGCCGATATCACCGTGGAACAATTACTCGCCACTCAAACTGTGTCAATTTGCCCGTTCCTCAGTTAATGTCAATAAACTATTTAGCTAATCCGCATCCAATTTGAGTTGAGGAACTTTTTTAAAGTTGCCTTGAAACTTCTCAAGTGCTTGTTTTCTTCCGTAAGTATTTGAGAGTCACTACGACTTTAACCAATATCATTGAAATGAAATTTTAGTAGAGTTTCTTGTAATTTTTCGAGTTTTCACAAAAACAAAATTAATTAAAGTTTTTGTTGAAGCACCTAAATCCTTACAATTTACAATTTCCAAATGAAAAATCAAATGACTTTTTAAACTAGTTTTCTAACTTCATGAATTATGCATCGTACATATGATGGTCTGGTTTCTTCAAGGATTAAGTGTCAAACGACTAGAGTATTTGCTTATCACAGCTGATTTGTGGAAAGACATGTTACTATGGAATTCGATTGTGGCCATTTGCATAAAGGCAATAGAGTTAAGGTACCGCATAAATCTGTAAATTTTATAGAACATCGTAGCACATTTGTAATATGAAGAAGGATATAGAAAAGAATAGTATTCTGCATGCATCTACGATTTGCTATGTCATGGATCACATCTCGTAGTTCATTAATGAACTAAAAAATAAGCTTTCCGCTAATTATAAAAAAATTAAGCTAAAACAAGAAAATATAATAATTTCAGCTTTAACACATTATATTGAATATCATTGAAGTTTCATTTATATGATAATATATACATAATGTAATACATAACATATTTATAACATTATGTATAACATACATATATATACCTAATATAATGTATAATAGTACCCATAAGCGCTGCTATAAATAAGATAAATCTAAAGTATCAGTTTGTAAAGTATCTGTACCCAAATCTGATCTTATCGATATCATCTTTACCACGAATAGTTTCTTCTACAATAGAAATCTCGATTCTATAGTATATCTAGATAGGATTATTTTAAATACAGTTCTGTACCATACAAACAAAACATCAGATATAATTTCTTCTGTTTTCTTTTATTTTTGGTTTCCTATTAAAACAGGATATCGAGGCATAGTCTTTTTCTTCTTATTTGGGTATAGCGTAGCGGGTGTTTTTTTTCCGATACGAAGCTGCTGACCTTGCGATCAACCCTCAACCTAGAGGACCAGATTCCCAGCAAATCTGGATGTAAAATTGGTGTTTGGTAACTATAGAATTTCCCCTCTGCTAGGTGTTTTCAGGTTATACCGCCTGTGCTCTGTCGTCAGAGCGTCGTATTCGAGAACAGGATAAACCACATGTAAATGAGATTGACTGTTGAGAAGGCTAGGCTGTGTATTCGCATCACTCCCCCATTAAGGCACACACTTCTGCCTCTTGTATCCCTATTTCTTATAAATGTGTCTAGCTACAGCTGACCACCAAATGTTAATCAACTGGTTGAAATAAATGAGTCAATATATTCTAGTGAATATTATTGAGTTTGTTATACCGATTGCAGACGTTAAATGTATTTTTATCATATTTCTCAGTAAGATGACTCAGCCAACTTATTACTTTTCACATTGACATGTTAGCAAAACTATTCTTGAAGAAATTCAGACAGTTGCTTGATTTCCTAAGAAACAGATCACTGTTTCTTATGTACCAGAGGGTCTTTACAACGTATTGTAGGAGATTATTTTGGAACCGATATATTACTTTTAAGTTTGTTTTGATGATGCAATCTGAAAGCTATGTTTCAGTATTTGTTTTGTTTATTATTAACAGAATTGTAAGTTACCTGAAATGATTTTCTACTTATAAGTTACTTCAGGTTTTGTAGTTTGATTTCTAACATTTCTTTATTGTGTTAATGTTCTATTTTCATTTTACCTTGGCGTCCGGAGCTCATTTGTCAATATACTTTTATAAAATTTGGTCCTTTAAAAATGTGTCTTATAGTACTGCTCATTCTAAAAATATGTTTCCGTTATTTAAAATATAAACTGCTAGATTTTTTGTGAAGAAAGCTTATAGCTACGTCTCTAAACTAAAAAATAATGATGAAATAACTTGATTTGTTTTGCGTGAAGGATATTTAAGCAAAATTAAATTAATTTTCTATTTTTATTTTCATTCTACGATTGTTAAGTATTTCAAGTCAGATAACTTCATCCTAACGGAATACATATATACAGGTTTATTTATTGCATTGCTTTAACCAAACTTACTGAAATATTGCGATAAAATTTATCTTAAAGTCTTATTTGTAACATATCTTGTCTTATTATCCTGAAATTCGTGTTCGGGGAAACCTCAGAAATATGATAGCTATGCCCAATAACTCAATTAATACCAGAGCGTTTATTTCAATACGAAGTAAAAAGCACTTAGCACAAATTACAATCAATTTGGAAGCAGACAGGATTTCATGGCGGATTTTATGGCAACGGTTGCACATATGCGTTTAGGAGTCGAACAAGGTCATTAATTACGAAAAGGAAATTAACACAAATTGGCACCAAATGTTGCCAAAAACTCCTAAACTACATTAACAGGAGTCGAAAATATTATTTGATGTCCCTGAATCAGAAATTCAAGTTCAAAACGTATTTGGTGAGTTTACGTTCAGTTTTTTTAAGTTGTGGACAACATTTGTATTCTAATGAATTATCAACATTTTCAGTGGTTTTTTATTTAAAATTAAATACTTCAGTTCTCTTGTAGGGATATTAATATAAAACAATAAGTACAAAGTACTTATGAATTTCAACAGCATAGTTTCTTTTTATATGATTATGATTTCGTTTTCGAATGGAAAATACAATAAATTTTTAAACTTCAAATTTAACAATGAGCTATGCTCTAGCTGTGTGATGGAAATAATTGAAGTACCAAATACTACAATAAATCAATGTCAGTAAAAAATATGGGCAACTCAATTTGAAAGCCAATTTTCTGACTGAACATACACCACTTAACCCACCTTCTTATCACCTTCTATTTATCGTTTCTTGTAGATATCTAAAGTGATGAGCTTCAGTGTCTAGCACCCTAATGATTTTTACTGTGTACTGTAATCTTGCATTATGTTACACTACTACTAAAACTATGTATATCATTACCCACATTTTGCATACCTAAAACTCATCCATTCCTATGTCACCTCATACTCATGAAAGACGTATCTACTCAGTAAAAACTCATGATTAAATCACCATCATATGTACATCATCACATCTTCACATATTCTGTTACCTGAATCCAATTACATTCATTTTACAAAATTTAGTAAATTTGCAAATTATTCGATTATTATTTTTTAATCTTATATTTGTATTAAGAATTAATTTTATTTTTTTTTTAAATCTTCTTTTTCAATTAATGTCAAGGGTCACTAAGCAGGTCGTAGCCGTCAAAAAAATGAAAAAAAGAGAACACAAGGTTATAGAATAATTAGATAACAACAAAGCTCAATCCAAAAATTCTGATCACTAAATATTTAATTAAAATATTTTTCCAAATTTATTTATTTAAATATATTTATTTAAATATATTTATTTAATTTCATTATTTTTAAATAACGATTATATCTATTTCTTAATAGAAGCGTATAAATAATAACTAAAAAACAACAAAAATTATACTTAATTAATTAATATTTTTTTCTGGCAATACAGTTGTTTTGGTTATTGTGAAATACCCATCCCTAGTAGTCTTTGTAAATGTTTGCTTGATGGTTAGTCCGCATATAATTTTTGGACTATAACTGCCAGGCTAAGAACTTTGAATTTAAAGCAATGACCGTATTTTCAAACCGAGCCAACCAAAACCGATACCAAAGTTTAAAATTTCAAGTCTATTTTAATTTCTTCTGAGTACAACAAATAAATATTCCTTTTCATTTAAAAGTATATATATTATTTAGTATAGTATACATAAAGTATATATTACTTTTCTAACACTCCTTTTAGTTTTATGTTACGAGGTTGAAATAAAAATAGCATTTTATATATAATTTTTTGATCTAATAATATCAGCTTCAAACTCTGATCAACAACAAATTGTTTGATACCATATTTACTTAGTTATATTAATGCTACCTCTTCTCATCTCAGCAGTTTTCTATTTTCATTTATTGAACCTTAGTAATATTCAATATCAGATATTTAAACTCTAGAAAAGGCACTGACGCAGAAAGAGACATTGTCCAAGCAGAATAAGCCAGATCCAAAATCAAGATCTCCGACAGTGGTAGTAGAAAAGGCTTCGGAGATCCTACAAATGAGGATCTCCGTTGATGGAAGTAGATAAGGCTTTGGCGTTTAACTTAATTGAAAAACTCTTGTATATTATACCTATAAATAAATACATCATTGATTCTTTAAGTATTATCAACAATTTCTTTATGCAGATATACCTATTAAGTTATATGTGCCTAAGGTAAGAAGTTAATATTTGTTTATGTATAATATGTTAATCGAAGATTAATGTGTATATTTTGATTTAAAATTGTTGCATATTTTTATATGGACTAATAAGTCTATTTAATGAAGCATAAAAGTTGATATATATGCTAACACTTTTTTATTTGTTGTCATGTATATTGACTATTTTCGTTAGATCATTATAATATAATTTTTAATATTATATTACTACATATGTTCATGTTAAATTAATGGAAAAATTTCTTCTCTTTTAGGAATACGAAATTGCTAATACAACTTAAAATTCCAGTGACCTTTGTATTATTTCATGAAGAGTAGATTGAAACTACTGATGTACTTTGTTGAGACAAAGTGTTTTATACAAGCCTTCCGATATTCGGATTACAGAGAAATTTCTACACTCCATGCTAATAAAAGGATAAGCTCTATTTAACAGACATGTTTTTCAATCATTATTTATATCCAAAAATGTTCTTTAAAGAGAAACAGAGTTTTTAACAGAACACAGTTTCCAATTTCGTCACTGTACTCTTAACAGAACTTTCCAATATGTGTTGACATTGCAATATTATATAAAAATAATTATATCTTAGTCTTGTCAAAAATAAGCAACTATTTTTTTTTATTGATTCAATAAACTAACTGCTTTTAAGCGCATTTTTTAAAAATATTCAAATATATGAAAGCCTTTTAACTGAACAATACTGGCTCAGAAGTTTCTATCCTCACCTGATATTATAAAATCCTCAACAGAATCTTCAAGATAAGATATTTTGGCCTTCATTCGAACAGCTAAATATCTTTTAAGTGATTAAATGGTTAGCAGTACAGAATATATATTATACTCCTAGTGCAGTCTTGAATCACTACCTTGCATATTTGTAATTCTAAGCATATACGCAACCCTTTCGTTCTTCGATTGCATTGAACTTATTTTGTTCTAACAATACAGGATGAGGGCACCTAACACAGGATGTCGGAAGAGTTTTATTAAAATCTTATTATTCCTGTTTTATAATTATTTTCTTTTCGGAGGCTCACAAAGCTTACACTATTAAGAAACTTAAAGTAAAAATGTATTCCTTAACGTAAATTAATGTAAAATATTTAAGAAGTTCGACGGGACGAAGGAGAAAGACTGAAACGAAGCTGCCTTCTTAGCACTGAGGCAGATTCTTTCGCATAAATTTCGTATTCGTAAGGATTTTGCTGCCTTCTGAGGTAACTCGGTTACCAGGCAACACACGGTACCGGCGAGGAGCTGCCTTTGCTGCAAGCGCTGTTGCACGTATTTGTTGTGCTGCTGAGGCGAATGTGTTGCATGTTGCATGTTTGTAATTAAAATTTGCATATTCTATGTAAATTGTTCTGAGATGAAAATGATATTATTGTTTACGCGCATATGTGCAGCGCCGGCCCCGCTAAGATGCGAGTGTAATGCAAGTAATTAAATTTTGTTAATTTTGTTAAGCATAGTTAAAATTTAATAAAGGCTCTGCAAGCTTAAGAGCTGCTAATAATACTCGCAGTAAATGAAGTTCGCTCCTGGTCTGATTATCCAAACAAGATATTCGGCAGTGCAAAATTCTAATCTGTGTGCATTTGAATTGCTGTTGATCAGAATCAGAATCTGTATTGCCTGTGCAGAGCAAGACTAAAATACTATTCTTCAGGTACCTTGTATGAAGTTTCTAAAAGAAAAAAAAGCTTCAATCAAAACCGGAGGTGCAGGTGTTTAATTAACCTTAGATGTTTCAGAATTTTCAAGAACAATCGTTTGAAGGACAATAGCTAGGGCTTTTAGTTCCCTTCAACGAAATTCTATTGTGTGAACGTATTTAAGAGTTTTTATTTGAACAAGAAAGTTAATTAAATTTTCATTAATGAATTGGGGAAAGGATAATTTTGGCAGCAAACAATAAAAATTTCACTCTACCTTTTACTTTCCTGGTGTTTTTTTTTTGTTTTTTTTTTTTTCATTTTGACTTACAAAAGAGCAGCACAAAAGCACAATACAAAGTTCACTGAAGTCAAAATTTTCACGTGGTACAGTTCCCATGTTTAACACTTTAATTCTTATTAATTTTTAAGTGTTTAAATCTCAAAAGTTTTTTAGTTTTCTAACAATTTAAACTGTGATTTAGTGGCCGAGTTCAGGAATGAATTACTTTTGTTGCATTCTTCCTTGTTTTTGAAGCTTCTGTGCTTATTTGAGGCAAAATAACTATGAGAAATGGGGAAAACTTTTATGAACTGGAAACAGGAAAATAAAAATTGTGTTCAGAGTTATGAATTATATTGGAAGCAATTTACGTGGAAATATTCGACTAACTTAATTCTTCACAAAAAGCAGAACAATTAGTATGGAATATAATCGAATAGGCTGAATGATTTTGTTACTACAGTAAGTAGTCTGAAATGTTATACATTATTTTAGTGTCTTCACAATGATATAGCGAATATAGTCCTTTTTACGGTCAGCATATGGTAAGTTACGTTTAATGATGAAGACATGTAACTAACTTATCATTCCTTACCCACCGTCATCTAGTAGATAGATCATATGGATTGATACCGAATTCTTTTAAATTAACTAAAAAACATATTTGATGTCATATTTTTTACATATTTTGAAATTTTAGGGAGAGTATATTTCATCCATCAAAATTTTATGAATATTAATTTGTTGTCTATTAACGTCTTTCAATTTAGAAGAGTTCTTATAGCAATGAAATCAAAAAAACATTTTAGTTGTAAAACCTGAAGACTTTCGAAATTCTTATGAAATTAAACTGCAAAAAGTTGACAGTAAATGAAGCTTTAGTCAACTCAGTAAATGTTCTAAGATTTGTCCAAAATTATAAAGTTCAGATCAAAAATTTTCTCATTAAAATATTTGAGTTCGTAAACAACTCTTTGAATTCTTAAGCGGCGCCACATTCTCATTTAGAAATGAAAGCGAAAAAAAATAATAAATACTTCACCTACTAAAATCTGATAAAGATGTGGTGTGAAAAGTCTCTCCAGCGGATCCACCCAATATCTAAAACATCTTTTCATACATTCGATGAAAATACTCTCAATATACAATCGTAATATCACAATAAATAAAACTTAAGTACTCGTATCATTTATGACTGAATAATTAATTTAATTTGCTGTGTCCGTGAAGATAACTGAAATCGATAATGAAATTCTTACTCATATCTTAGGTATTTAAATAAGCTGTACTCAGTTTTTAATGATATGCCCTAATAAGAAGAAAACTTGTACTGCAAAAAAAAAATATTGAAATACTTTTCAGATCAAAAGCAATTTTATTTCATCAAACATAGAATTAAATATAACATAAATTTTTATGCAATAATCACAAACAGCTCGAAAATAAAATTTTTTAAGAGAATTAGCGTACACTTCCCTAATTGTACTTCCTACCCCTACTTAACCGCTAATTCTCTTTACCTAATCAATTTAATTCTTAGCGAATAAAAAACGAGTCTTTTCAGCGGTCAAACGCTGAATAGCAATCACCTTTTTAACGACAAGACCAAGACGTTTTTTTAAATCTTTCTTAATGCTATTAGAAACTTTGGTAACAACCTTACGACCGGATCCACTTGCTTCTTTTAAATCCTTCTTCTTAGCGCGCTTAGCCTTGGCGTCAGCTTCATCTGTGGATTCAAGAGATGGCGCTACTGCTTTCTGTTTAGACCCAGAAGCTTCAACGTTGACATCTTCATCGGATACTGAAGCTTTAGTTTGATCATTCTGCTTTGGGATATCAGCTGCAAGTTGATCACTAGAATTTGCAAGTGTAGTTAAGCCGCCCTTTTCACTTTCACCATCAATGCTACCGCAAGCAACAGAGGCAGTTAGTTCTTCACTTTCACAGACATTGACCTCAATCGCAGACGCACCAACTTCTGTACGATTTTGCTCATTAAGCTCAGAAATATTAAGAATAATGTGATCCCCGGAACCATCAGATGGTATTACTTCATTCTTTTCATAGGACATAGGTTTAACGGCGACATCAACCTCCATTCCTACACACGCACAAACCTCAATACCAATAGAAGGACAAAGAGCATTAGTTGTGGTAAACTCTTGCTGCTTAAGTTCAGTAACTTCAGCAGCAATACGATCACATGAACCATTGGCTGACATTGATTCCTTTTCCTTAGTATCTGAAGCTTCAAAAAGCTCAGAATCATCTGAGCTACCAGCTGGTATTAGTTCATTTTGCTTAGCATCAGAAACTCCTGAAACGGAACGATCATCTAATCCATCTCCAGCCATAAGTGCCTCGTCCTGGTTTTGAGGAACCTCAACGGTAACACTACCAATAACTTCGTTCTCCTTAGAGTCAAGAAACTTGGTGTCACTATAGTTATCGGCACCGTCAGTTGAAGTGTCCATTTTTTTTACAAAAGAAATTTACTTAAAATATGTTTCTCCGGACAATTTTGTAACGAGTAGGAGAAGAAATTGAAATTGAATGAAAATAAAAATTTCTTGATTAAAGATTATAAAAAAAAATACTTTTAAACAGCATGCTTAGTTAAATAAATGAAAAAATCTTTTAGTTGGATTTATATATTAAGCAAAGTGAATTTATTTAAGGAATTCATTTGTGTTAACTTATTACTCTATATAAATAGATAAATATTGGTTTAAGAAGCCACAAAAATCTCACAATATTACTGCAGCCATACAGTCTCTATATGGCATGTATTCAATTGGCAACATTGGATACCAAATGGAGCATTGGATAAGTGTTTGTAAGTAAATCAGTAAGTTTCTTATAACTGAAAGAAAATCTTTCTGTAAGATGAAGAAAATGCATGGCATCTGTGATATTGCCAAGGAGTTATTCTGTTCACTCAATTCGTAAACAGTTGAGGAACTATCATTAAATTAACATGAGCATTTAGGTATGAGTATTCAATCGCGGGGAACGAAGTTCATTTACAACAAAACAATTACTGATGAAATATTCGCATTTTGTATTTTGAAAAGTAATTAAAGAAATCATTAAAATTTCAAATCAACGCTCACAACTTCGGTCCAGATGCAAATTGGCACTGCCTGCAATTAAAAATTACCCATAAAATTGCTTGTTGTAAGTTAACAGCTGCGGGCAATAAAGCGAAAAGCTGCCAAAATCATTGATATATACTGTTTGTACAACAAAAGATACATTATCGCAGACATAAATCATTGCAATGCAGCAGTGCTGTGACAGCAGCGCACAGTTAAGGTTGTGGCTTATTTGCCATGCCACTTCCACCGACCGCACGCCATTCATTTTCCAAACCAAACATGAAACATGAGCTCTGCTATTCTCTGCTCCTCCATTGACATGGAACTGGTAACGTATGCCGCTCACTGTCATATTCACGTCTAAATCGGTCGTTTTTTAAATTCTGGTGATGGCTGCAATGGTCAACAAAGAGCAACTATTTTGTGTTGTGGGCAATAAATTGTCAATTTTGTGAGTGAACAGCCGAGCAAGTAAATGAAAAGTCCGCTGTTTCGGGTTCGCTGGAAGCAAATAAG